TTTTTTTTTGAGATGGAGTCTTGCTCTGTCAACCAGACTGGAGTGCAATGGCACGATCTCAGCTCACTGCAACCTCTCCCTCCCAGGTTCAAGTGATTCTCCTGCTTCAGCCTCCTGAGTAGCTGGGATTACAGGCACTCGTCACCACGCCTGGCTGATTTTTGTATTTTTAGTAGAGATGGGGTTTCACTACACTGGCCAGGCTGGTCTTGAACTCCTGACCTCAGTGATCTGCCCACCTCGGCCTCCCAAAGTGCTGAGATTACAGGCATGAGCCACCACACCTGGCCTTTTAAAAAATTATTATTTATAATTTTTAGTAGAGATGATGTCTTACTGTGTTGCCCAGGCTGGTCTCCAACTCCTGGGTTCAAGTGATCCTTCTGCTTTGGCCTCCCAAAGTGCTGGGATTACAGGCATGAGCCACCATGCTCTGCCTATATTCTTTACTCTTTCCTTCTGCTAGCTTTGGTTTGGCTTGTACCTGTCTTTCTAGTTCTAGGGAAAATTTTGGTTATTGATTTGTGGTCTTTCTTTTTTAATGTAGGTGTTTATAGCTATAACTTTCCTTGTTAGCACTGTTTTCACTGTATCCCATAAGTTTTGGCATGCTGTGTTTTTTTATTTGTTTTTGAGACAGGGTCTTGTTTTGTCACCCATGCTGGAGTGCGTAGGTGTGATCTTGACTCACTGCAACCTCCACTTCCTGGGTTCAAGTGATCCTCCTACCTCAGCCTCCCCAGTAGCTGGGACCATGGACACGTTCCATTATGCCCAGCTAATATTTTTTCTTTTTGTATTTTTGGTAGAGGCAGGGTTTCACTAGTTTGCCCAGGCTGGTCTCAAGGTCCTGAGCACAAGTGATTGGCCTGCCTCAGCCTCCCAAAGTGCTGGGATTAGAGGTGTGAGCCACTGTGCACAGCCTGCATTTTTGTTTTTACTCATCTCAAAGTATTTTCTAGTATTACTTGTAATTTCTTCTTTGATCAATTGGTTAAGAATGTATTGTTTAATTTTCACATATTTATGAATTTTCCAGTTTTCCTTCTGTTATTGATTTTTAGTTCCATTCCATTGTAGTAAGAGATATTTTGTATGATTTTTTTTTTTTCCTGAGTCAAGGTCTTGCTCTGTCACCCAGGCTGGAGTACAGTGGCACAACCTTGGCTCACTGCAGTCTTGACCTCCTGGGCTCAAGTAATCCTCTCACCTCAGCCTCCTGAGTAGCTGGGACTACAGGCATGTGTCACCATGACCAGCTAATTTTTGTACTTTTTTTTTGGAGAGATAGGGTTTCATCATGTTGCCCAGGCTGGTCTCGAACTCTTGAGCTCAAGCAATCCACCTACCTTGGCCTCCCAAAGTTTTGGGATTACAGGCATGTGCCACTGTGCCTGGCTGGTTTTCATCTTTTAAAAATGTATTGAGACTTGTTTTCTGACCTAGCATATGGTCTATCCTGGAGAATGTTCCATGTACACTTAAGAAAAATGTATATTCTGTTGTTGTTGGATGAAGTGTTCTTTATATGTCTATTAGGTCTAGTTGGCTTACAGTGTTGTTCAATTCTTCTGTTTCCTTACTGACCTTCTATCTTGTTGGTCTGTCCATTATTGAAACTGTGGGGTATTGGAATTTACAAGTAGTATTGTAGAACTATTTCTATCTTCAAATTTGTCTCTTTTTGCTTCACATATTTTGAGGCTCTGTTGTTGGGTGTGTATATGTTTATACTTGTTTTATCTTCTTGATGGATTGACTCTTTTATCATATCCTTGATAATGTCCTTCTTTGTATTCTTGTAACAAGTTTAACAATTTTTACCTTAAAGTCTATTTTACCTGATATAAGTAGAGCTACTACATCTTTTTTGGGTAAATATTTGTATGGATTATCTTTCCAACTTTTTACTTTCAACTTGTTTGTGTATTTGGTTCTAAGGTGAGTCTCCTGTAGATAGCCTATAGTTGGTTCATATTATTTTTATCTATTTTCCTAATCTCTGCCTTTCAGTCAGAAGTTAATCTATTTCATCTAAAGTAATTACTGATAAGGAAAGACTTACCTATGCCATTTTGTTATTTATTTTCTATATGTGCTTTTTTGTTTCTAAATTCCTTCATTACTTCCCTTTTTTGTGATTAATTGATTTTTTTCTAGCATAACATTTTGATTCCTTTCTCTTTTCTTTTTCTTTATATTGCTTAGTAGTTTTTTCTTTAGTAGTTACCTGAGGGTTATAATTAGTCAACTTTATAATGATCAAGGGTGAATTAATGCCAACTTAGTTTTAATAGTACAAAGCAAAAAATTTTACTATAAAAACTGCTCCTTTTCAGCTCTGTTCTCTCCTTTTTGTTGTTATCACAAATTATCTCTTTATACATTGCATATCCATTAACACACATAACTATTGTTTTGTGCGTTTGTCTTTTAAATTGAATAGGGGAAAAAGAGGAGTTAGAAACCAAAAACTGCATTATTGGACTCTACCTATGTAGCTACTTTTTCACTGGTCTCTACTTATTTATATGACTTTGAGGTACTTCCTAGTTTCCTTTCCCAAGTAGTTGGGACCACAGGTATGAGTCACTGTGCCAGCTTCTGTATTTATGTTTCTGAAATGTGTGTGGTTTTTTTTTGTTTGTTTGTTTGTTTTTTGAGACAGAGTCTTGCTCTGTTGCCCAGGCTGGAGCGCAGTGGCACAATCTCGGCTCACTGAAAGCTCCGCCTCTGGGTTCATGCCATTCTCCTGCCTCGCCTCCTGAGTAGCTGGGACTACAGGCGCCCGCCACCATGCCTGGCTAATTTTTTATATTTTTAGTAGAGACTGGGTTTCACTTGTGTTAGCCAGGATGATCTCGATCTCCTGACCCCATGATCCGCCCACCTTGAGCTCCCAAAGTGCTAGGATTACAGGCGTGAGCCACCGCGCCCGGCCTGAAATGTGTTTTTTAAAAAGGAGTGAAGAGGACCCTGGATGGTTGATGATATAATACTACTGACTGAGGAATCTGATTGATTTTCCAATTCTTCATACATAATTTCTAGAAAACAAAAATAGAATAAAGGTAATAACTAGTAGAGCAGAAGCTGAAAATAAAACTTTCAACAGATACATGGTGAAAGTGGGTAAAGAGAGAGATGTACAACAAAGTACATTTCTTTGACTTAGTACTGTTTCTTCCTCTACTTTGATTCTTCATTAACGTTTAAATAGCATCATATGCCATAATGTCAGAAAACACTCAATTTACTGGCTCACTTTCAAAGGATAGATTATGTGCTTTTACTTTAGTTGTACCAATTTTCAGCTCCTTTAGGAATGGAGCCCATCATCCTGGAGTGTTAAAATGGGCAAAAAGAAAGATAAACTCATTCTAGCTGTTCTTTTCTAAAGGTATCCTCCAACCCCTCCTCCAACATCGATCCAGGCAACTATGTTGAAATGAACGATTCAATCGCCCACCTACCTTCTAAAGTGGTGATACAAGATATTACTATGGAGCTACACTGCCCACTGTGCAACGATTGGTTCCATGACCCACTGATGCTAAGCTGTGGCCACAACTTCTGTCAAGCCTGTATCCAAGACTTTTGGAGGCTGCAAGCAAAGGAAACATTCTGTCCTGACTGTAAGATGCTATGTCAGTATAGCAACTGTACATTCAACCTTGTACTGGACAAGTTGGTAGAGAAGATTAAGAAGTTACCCCTACTCAAGGGCCATCCACAGTGCCCAGAGCATGGAGAGAACCTGAAACTGTTCAGTAAACCAGATGGGAAACTGATCTGCTTTCAATGCAAGGATGCTCGGTTGTCTGTGGGGCAGTCTAAGGAGTTCCTGCAAATCTCTGATGCTGTCCATTTCTTCACGGTGGGTGAGCCCTGGGCCTTGAACAATCCCTTAGAAAAACTAGGAAAAATATTTTATAGGGCTTCTTCTTTCTTTCAACCCCATCCCTTTATTCAAATGATGATTAGAAAACCCAGACTGCTCAGAAAGTACAACGTATCTTGCAAAGTTCTTTTTCTAGAGTTGCTGCTTATAGGAAAGGAACAGTGGAGGAGCCCTGGTTTACTCCCTCAATTAAATCTGTACCTAAACTCTGCCATGGTAGCACTCTGCTAAACACTGTGTAGAATATGGATATATAAGATATTGCTCTTGTTATAAAAAAATTCAAAAATTGGTTAAGTTTAAAATGAAGAAAACAGAAGCAATGTAAGATAGTCTACTATTAAAAGTTAAATTTTGTCACATTTGTAATTCTTAAGGGTTTAGAATTTCTGAAATGACTAGAGAAAGATGAAATTGTCAGGGGACATATAGTGAAAGAAAGGGAAAGGACTTGAACTGGGAAATCATTTGGATTTGGAAGGGCAGAAGGAAGAAACAAGTGTTCCAAGTGAGAACAACACAAGTAAAATTATAGATTCTGAGAATAGCATATAACTAGAGTGGAAAATGTGTAAAGTTCTATTCCTTTCTTCGAACCCCTGTAGCTAGCCATTAAGAGAGAAAAACTAAGTTTTAAGCTGTAATTCTTTTTTTTTTTTTTTTTTTGAGATGGGGTCTCACTATGTTGCCCAGGCTGGTCTCAAACTCCTAGACCCAAGTGATCTTCCCATCTCAGTCTTCCAAAGTGCTGAGATTACAGATGTGAGCTGCCACACCTGGCCTCTTTTTTTTTTTTTCTTTTCTTTTCCACAATTATTGAACGAGACAAGAACTATGATACAAGGGAAGGGGAAGATTTTTGCAGCAAGAGCTTGCTTTTTTCTTGCACACTGGGGCCTTGGGGAAGATGTCGTTTATGGTCCTTCATCTCCTGAGTCAGTGTGGGTTAATTCTATTTGGTATTCCCAGGAGGAGCTTGCCATCCAACAGGGTCAACTGGAGACAACTCTGAAGGAGCTTCAGTCCCTGAGGAACATGCAGAAGGAAGCTATTGCTGCTCACAAGGTGAGGAGCAAGAAAGAGGGGTTATGAGATAGAACTGGAACACACCCTCCCTGTAACTTCAGCTATGGGTACAAAGGTGCCTAACACATATTATCAACACACTAAATGGTACCTAGGCTATAGAATTGGAAAACTGAGACTGTAGGGTGGAAAGGAATATGGTGGTGGAGTAGGTTCCTAATAGCTGACCAACAGAGCAGATAAACCTTTCCCCTAATATGCTAATCTTTTTGATGGTTCAGTCACCAGGTGACTGTTGTGGGATTGAAATGTGTCTGGTGTTTGGCTTTATCTATGGCAAAAAAAAAAAAAAAAAGGAATTTATCAAAAAAAATCAATCATTAAAGATTGCTATGTCCAAAGAAATACCTTTATTTCCTTTGAGTTTATAACCAGACACCTCTGGACTAGGTCTCCAAGATTGTAAGCTTTTTCCATCTGATTTGATCTTTCTTAGCTTCCTCCAAACTAAATAAAGCTATTGTCTTCACTTTCAACTTCATAGACACTCTAGGACAACATTAATGGCTAGAGATCTGGCAAAGCAGCCCCTAGGCCGGGGGTGCTGAATTGGACGTTCTGTTTCTTTATTCATTATTCTATGGAGAAGAGCCTTCTCAGGTATTTGGCATCTGGAAGAAAAAATATGTAGACTCAGGGAAAGAAGATGGATATATGGAAGTAATGGTGTCTCCAGAAAATCTTGTTCCTGTTGTAAAAGTTCCTATTGGTGTGAGCGTTCATTCATTCATTTAACAACTATTTATTGAGTGGGTCATAATACTAGATATTGGGGATGGGAGACAGCTGTTAATTAAACAGTCCCAACAGTAATAATAAAACAACAACTGTGATAAGTACTATAAATGAAAGTATAGGGTATGATGATAGCATATAAATGGAGAACATAATCTAGACTGGGGGGAGTTGTGTTCTCCACTTATTAAAAATTGAGAATTGAAGGATAAGTAACTCACCCAAGTGAACTGGGTGAGTGGGAATATGAAGGAGATGGCCTGGAGAAGAATGTTCTAGGAATAGAAAACAGCATATGGAAAAGTCCTGAGACAGAAAGTTAGCTCCTATGTTAAACAGAGAAAAGGCCAATAAAGCTGTAACATGCTAAGCAAGATGATATTGAAGAGGTGGATATGGGCTTACTGTAACCTCAAACTCTTGGGCTCAAGATATCTTCCCACCTCAGCCTCCTGAATATCTGGGACTAGTTTGCCACACCTGGCTAATTATTTTATTTTTGGAGAGACTGGGTCTCACTATGTTGCCCAGTCTTGAACTCCTGTTCTAAGCAATCCTCCCAGCTTGGCCTCCATAAGTGTTGTAATTACAGGTATGAGCCACTGTGCCCAGCCAAGACTATCTTAAGGGCGCAATAATAATTATGGACCATAGAATCCAAGCTAGATAAGAGAGGACATGAAGGTAGAAATTCCTGAATAGAAATGGAGGGATCAGTGAATAGGAGGTTTCAATGAGATCCAATAATTGTTGCAATAGGAGTGTCTGAGTGGGCCTGGTGCATAAAAAGTTATTTTGGAGATGATGCAATTGCTGGGGGTGATAAAATCCTAGGTGAGACTATAGGAATGAATCAATAAATGTAGAAATCACTAGACATGAGGAGAATGAGGAACTGAGAAGCCAGGATGTCAAATAGTTTACCTGTGAGGATGTTGAGTTCACCCAAGGAAAAAGATGCAAGTGTAACAGTGGCATTCCCCAAGTTCTGATTTCTGGATAAGGACAGTTATTCCAGCCTCCCAATACCCCCAGTCTAACAGTACCACTTGGAAGCTTTTGGTTTACCAATCTAGGAGGGTATTATCATTCATTCTAGAATGTTTGATTAACTCCACAGTCTTATTTAATATGGCATTGGTTACCATCTGAGTACTGCAATAGGAGTCACTTTTGCAAAAGAGGTCACTTTTGCCTATTTCATCCTGAACTACTAAATTAGTTGGAAAAGGAATAAGTCTCCCAAAGGACTCATTTGAGTATGGTTGAATTTGATATTCAGTAGCCATTTGTATCCATTTTTCTGTGATGGTATTTCCCAAGTGTGTGAGTGTTGGTGGTGTGGGTCTCCATCCCCAAGCACTAGTCTCTGTAATAACTATGGTGATAATCATGGAGGTTTCCAGGAAAACAAGCTACATCTGCAGCAACATGTGTCCATGGAGTTTCTAAAGCTGCATCAGTTCCTGCACAGCAAAGAAAAGGACATTTTAACTGAGCTCCGGGAAGAGGAGAAAGCCTTGAATGAGGAGATGGAGCTGAATCTGAGCCAGCTTCAGGAGCAATGTCTCTTAGCCAAGGATATGTTGGTGAGCATTCAGGCAAAGACGGAACAACAGAACTCCTTCGACTTTCTCAAAGTGAGAATCCACACCAATATAATGATGGGTACTTTCCTACCTGGAGGGGGGAAGAGGTTAGGAAAGAATGCAGAAGTGGCTCTTCACATCCAGGGAAAACAAAACAAAACAAAACAGTTAAGTAGTGCTTTTAAGTTTCTCTGAAAGAAAAGGAGGAGGCTACTTCAGCTATATGCACAGCAGAAAGCTTTACTTTCATCCTCTTAGGAAATAAGATTTTTAAATTCCATTATTAATAGTATATATTAATGGCTTAATATTTTTCCATGAAGAGCTTGACGCTTTATTTCTCAAAAATAAAAAATTTGCAGCATGAGTTGTATCTTTGGCTCTCAGCAATCATAAGTTGACCTGTCTGAAAAGCTGTTTTCTAACCTTTGCTTTCTTAAGCTTCACCTCTAAAGAGGCGTTGGTTACCATCTCAGCACTCAGAAGTTTAATTAGCTACAGTAAGGAAAAGTGGCCTTGGGACTGGGATACCTACTGTGTTTTCCTTCTGAGACTATTTGAAAGTATAGGTAAAGATAGATTAACCTTAAGTATTGTCTTATTGGCTTCTGCCTTGCTCCCTGTAGAAGGGAACTGTAGAAGGAGCAAAAGATCAGTTTAACCTGGGTTAGGATAAGGGATGAAGATTAGAAAAAGTGTATGAAGGATGAAAGAAGTTGGTAGAGATGAGTTGGGGACCATCTGCACAAACTCTGGTGGTGGCTGGTATCACCAAAGAAATTTTGGGAGTTGATGAACAGGCATCTGATGTCTCTCTTTCTCCTTTCTTCTAGGACATCACAACTCTCTTAGATAGGTAAGTGTTTCCCTACGGTACTCTTAATATCATTCCCTGAGTCTCTGGAGGATGTCTAAGGATAAATGATTTATGTCCCCTGCAGCTTGGAGCAAGGAATGAGGGTGCTGGCAACCAGAGAGCTTATTTCCAGAAAGCTGAACCCTGGCCAGTACAAAGGTCCTATCCAGTACATGGTATGGAGGGAAATGCAGGACACTCTCTGTCCAGGTATCAGTGGGTAGTAACTATTGGTTCTTGAGGCTCCTAATCTATGTTTAATCTGTGGGACCTCTTCTGTGGCCCTAATTAGGTTTTTATAGTCTGGGATAGGGAAGGGGTACAGTTTGGCCAAAAGGAGGCTAGTTGGTATGACTGAATTTCTTCTAGTGCCATGACCTAAGAATTTATGACTTTGTGCTCGTAAATAGATACGAGTTTGTTATCAGGATTACTCATTAGCCTATGATTTTGACTGTTTTATGGAATGTGGCAACAGCCAAAATTTTATCTTGTTTTGCTAAATCAGCTATATGAATCCCAGGGGCTTCTCTGCTCTGAAGGAGGAGGAGGTTTCTGTACATACTCTTTGTATGCACACTGGGTCTTTATAGTTTCTCTTGTACTTGATGTTCATAGTGTAGAACATTTTAGAAGATTGTTTAGATCTTCAGTGCTTCAGAAGAAAACCAATAATTTAAATAAACCTACCTAAGAAGGACACTAAGTTTTTGTGTTCCTGCAGATACCAAAGGACTGAGCAAGACAAAATAACACACATGGCATTTCAAGAACATCAAATAAAGTTCTAAATAAAAATCTTTATAGAAATAAAATTCTAAACAGAGTTTTTATAGAATTCATAGACTCATTATTATTATTGTTTATGGTTATTGATTTAATGAGAAATCACAAATAAATCCCTGATTTAATGAAAAACCACAAATTTTTCCAGGTAACTGACATTGAAAAAAATCAACTATACTGAGATATAGTTAACATAGAGTAAAATTAACCAATTTTAAGGGCACAATCTGATGAGTTCTGATGTATACATACACTTAGGTAAACATCGCCATAATCAAAATATGGAAGATTTTTATCACTTCCAAAAGTTCCTACATGCCTCTTTACAATCAATTTCTTCCTTCTACTCTCTGCCTCTAACATTCACTGACATGTTTTGTTTCACTTTAAATGTGTCTTTTCTAAATTTTTGTCTAAGTGATAGCATACATTATATAGTGTTTTGTATCTGTTTTTTTCACTTAGCACATTTCTTTTGTTTTTAATTTTATTTATTTATTTATTTATTTGAGATGGAGTCTCACTCCGTTGCCCAGGCTGGAGTGCAGTGGCGCCTTCCCGGTTCACTCCAAGCTCCACCTCCCAGGTTCATGCCATTCTCCTGCCTTAAGCTCTCAAGTAGTAGGGACTACAGGCGCCCGCCATCACACCTGGATAATTTTTTGTATTTTCAGTAGAGATGGGGTTTCACCGTGTTAGCCAGGATGGTCTTGATCTCCTGACCTTGTGATCTGCCCACCTCGGCCTCCCAAAGTGCTGGGATTACAGGTGTGAGCCACCACACCCGGCCGCATAATGCTTTTTGAGCACTTATGTTGTTCCATGTAACAATAATCATGATTATTCATTCAGTTTACTTATTCATGTACCAATTGATGGACATGGGGTAGTCCATGGTAGTTTTATCCATCCTGCAATTAATGAAAATTCATTTCTCTATATCCTTTCCAAAACTTGATATTGTCAATCTTTTTAATTTAAACCATTTTATTGAATGTATAGTAGTATCTCTTTTTTTGGTGGGAGGGTGGGACAGAGTATCACTCTGATGCCCAGGCTAGAGTACAGTGGTGCATCTCAGCTCACTGCAACCTCTGCCTCCGAGGCTCAAGTGATTCTTGTGCCTCAGACTAACGAGTAGCTGGAATTACAGGCGTGCACTGCCATGCCTAGCTAATTTTTGTATTTTTAGTAGAGACGAGGTTTTGCCATGTTGGTCAGGCTGATCTTGAACTCCTGACCTCAAGTGATCCGCCTGCCTCGGCCTCCCAAAGTGCTGGGATTACAGGCATGAGCTACCACGCCCGGCCCTGAAGTCTGTTTCTAACAGGGTCTTTCAAAGAACAAGCATTTTAAATTTTAATATAGTCCAATTTACCAAGTGAGTCACTGACTGGTCATAAAACTCCTCAAGATGCTGCATGTATTTTGCAGCTCTATTATTTAGGTGAATACACTCTTAAGATTGTTATTATCTTTTGATGCCTCAATCTCACTAAAATTATAAAATGTTCATCTTTATCCCTGTGCAGTGGCACGATCTCAGCTCACTGCAAGCTCCGCCTCCTGGGTTCACGCCATTCTCCTGCCTCAGCCTCCCGAGTAGCTGGGACTACAGGCGCCGCGCCCGCCATCACACCTGGATAATTTTTTGTATTTTCAGTAGAGATGGGGTTTCACCGTGTTAGCCAGGATGGTCTTGATCTCCTGACCTTGTGATCTGCCCACCTCGGCCTCCCAAAGTGCTGGGATTACAGGTGTGAGCCACCACACCCGGCCGCATAATGCCTGTCTCTTATACACATCTAGATGTGTATAAGAGACAGGGAGTACAGTGGCATCTCCAAGGCTCAAGTGATTCTTGTGCCTCAGACTAACGAGTAGCTGGAATTACAGGCGTGCACTGCCATGCCTAGCTAATTTTTGTATTTTTAGTAGAGACGAGGTTTTGCCATGTTGGTCAGGCTGATCTTGAACTCCTGACCTCAAGTGATCCGCCCGCCTCGGCCTCCCAAAGTGCTGGGATTACAGGCATGAGCTACCACGCCCGGCCCTGAAGTCTGTTTTGTCTAATACAGTATTATCACTCTGGTTTTCTTTAGATTTGTTTCTTTAATCAATCAAAATTATCTGTTTGCACAATACATGTTTTCCCATCACCTTACTTTTAACTTGTGTTTTTGTATTTTAGGTAGGTTTTATGTAGCAGGCATATAGTTTAGTCTTACTTTTTTATTCAATCTGACAATCTCTGTCTGTCAATTGAAGTGTTTTGACTATTTACATTTAATGTTATTAGTAAAACTGGGCTTAAATCAACCATTTTGGTTATTTGTTTTTTAACTATACTATCTGGCTTTTCTTCCTTTTTTTCTCTATACCTTCCTTCTTTTGGATTGAGTGCCTTTTAGCTTTCCCTTTCATCTTCTTCTTCTTCTTCTTTTTTTTTTTAAACAGAACCTTGCTGTGTCACCCAGGCTAGAATGTATAGTGGCCTGATCTCGGTTCACTACAACCTCTGCTTACTGGGTTCAAGGAATCCTCCTACCTCAGCCTCCCCAGTAGTTAGGATGAAGGCATGCACCACCATGCCTGGCTAACTTTTTTTATTTGTTTTAAAATTTTTAGTAGAGATGGGGTTTCACCATGTTGGCCAGGGTGGTCTCCAACTCCTGACCTCAAGTGATTCACCTGCCTTGGCCTCCTAAAGTGCTGGGATTACAGGCATAAGCCACTGTGCCTGGTCTCTTTGGCTAATTTTTTTTTTTTTGAGACGGAGTCTCGCTCTGTCGCCCAGGCTGGAGTGTGGTGGTGCAATCTCAGCTCATTGCAAGCTCTGCCTCCTGGGTTCATGCCATTCTCCTGCCTTAGCCTCCCAAGTAGCTAGGACTACAGGTGCCCACCACCGTGCCTGGCTAATTTTTTGTATTTTAGTAGAGACAGGGTTTCACTGTGTTAGCCAGGATGGTCTCGATCTCCTGACCTCATGATTCGCCTGCCTCGGCCTCCCAAAGTGTTGGGATTACAGGCGTGAGCCACCGCACCCGGCCCTCTTTGGCTAATTTTAAGACTTGCTTTTTGTCACTTGCTTCCATCAATTTGATTATATGGGGTCTTGGTGTGATTTTCTTTGTATTTATTCTGATAGTGCTTCATTAAGCTTCTTGGATCTAAGAGTTTGTAATTTTCAACAAATTTGGAATAATATCAGCTGGTATTTCTTCAAATACTTTTTTACCAACCTCTTTTCCTTCTCTCCTTCTTGGAGTCTAATTTTATATATTTTAGACAGCTTGATACTGTCAAGTTGTCTCATGTCATCGATATTCAGTCTTTATTTTAGTCTTTTTTTGCCTCACACTTTAAATGGTTTCTATTGTTATTCAAGTTCTCATCTTTTCTTCTGCACAGTCTAATCTTCTCTTAATATTGTTCAAGATATTTTCATCTTATATACATTTATTTCATCTCTAGAAGTTTCATTTGGGTCTTTTAATATCTTTCCTTTCTCTTCTCACCATGTTCATGCCTTCCTCTACATTCTTAAAAAAATGGAAGACATTTATCCATTTTAATGTCCTTGTCTGC